CTCGTGCTGCAGCTTTACGCCCGGGGCTGCTCTTCACCGTGTGGAACTCAGCATTTTGATTCCTAGCTGAGGTTTGTTTTTTTCTTTTCGTTTGGGCGTAGATTATATTTTTTTCTCTGCCTTGTCCCATTTGCTCATTCACCTTCTGATCTTTTAGCAAAGAGTAACAGTCATCCTGCTTTGGCTCTTTGCTGAGCCCCTACCTCGTGGGGGGCCCTGGAGAGATGGGGACATGGGTGCCTTTGGGAGACAGAGTGCTGGGCGTGCACTTGTGCGTCTGGGCACGGAACCGTGAGTGTGGACAGTTTGGTTTTGGCTCTTAAAAAAAAATTGTAGTAAAGTACGTACAACGTAAAATTTACCATCTTAACCGTGTGCGGTTCAGTGACGTTAGGTTCGTTCACAGGGTTGTACAGCCATCCCCACCATCCATCTTGAGCCTTTTCCCCTCCCCAGACTGAAACGGTCCCCATTAAACCCTAAGTCCCCACCCCCCACTGCCCCTGACAGGTTGGCTTTCAAGGGTGGATTAATCTGGGTTGGGCACTGGGACCAGACGACCAGGTGACCTGCAGAAAGGCCCTTTTCCCCTAGATCACTCCTTCCCCCAACCCCTTCATCTGTATTTAGACTCCCACTCAGGTGGCCTGGGGACATTTGGAAATTCATTCCAACCACCCAATTTGGCAATTCCATGGAAACTTCCCAAGCATTGTGGGTGGTAGTGGGCGGGCAGGGGAGGCTAAGTGGGTGCATCTGAAGCCCCTTCGTGCTGCTTGACCCCCTCTCACCAGGGCCATGGGGGTGGGGAGGCTCTGTGAGCCCCTCCCGACACAGCCCTGGGCTAAGAGTCGGAAGAGAAGTGAACTTGACATTGGAATTAGGAAAATGTCTGGACAGGGGCCTTTTGAGGAGTCAGCACGGAAGGTGGAATTGTACAGCTGAGCCTCCCTGGGCACCTTTGTCTGAAGGTTGTCAAGAGACAGCGTTTTTCAATTCATGTCACTGCTCCAACCAACCACTTAGAGTAAAATTGCCCATAAAAGTGAACTTAAATTACAAGTGATAAAACCACAGCCCCCTCTCCCCTCGGCTGACCCTCTGTGCTGTCCTCGGGACGAGCTCAGATTCCTTGTGACAAGAGTAATGAGGAAGCTTCAGACACATTTCCAGTGAAGTCACCGTGAATTGAAAATCTTTGTTTTCTAGGGCTGGGGGGACTGTGGGTCTCTTCGTTAACTCCTCCTGGGAAGAGGACCTGCCGTCTCTGGACCAATTTGTCTCTCCTCCTCTTCTTCCTGCTGTGATGTCCTTTTGGGACCCGTGGGGCCACTTGTGTCCAGTCCAGGCCAGGAGGCTACTCAGCTAATAACCCTCAGCGACGCCCATCAGCCCTGGGCCCCTCTCACTCACCCACCCCCTCTCTCCTAACATGCTTTTCTCGACCATATTTTCAGCCTTTAAACCAGTTCTTCCAGGGGTGGGGGGATGGCGGGTTCCCATGGTGCATTACCTTGTGAATTCGTTCATGAACACAACAGTACTTATTGGGTCAGATCCTGTCCCAGCTCTGGGCTTTCAAAGATAACCTGGCCCTGCCCTGGAGGCGCCCCGGTTGTGAGGAGGTGACTCAGGGCAGTGCAGAGGGATGGTGGGGAGGGGAGTGGGATGCTGGGGCAGGGGGATCGAGGGAGAAGGGCGTCTCACTCTGACCAGAGGTCCAAGGAGGGCTTCCTGGAGGAGGAGGCATGGTTTGAGTCCAGGAACAGGAGGTGAGAAGTCTCTGGGAAGGATCAGATGGAGCCAGGGATGACTGACCAGGTTGACATCGTGGAAAGATCTCTCTAGAAAAGAGTCAGGCAAGACAGGAGGGAGGCAGAATGGAGAGGAAATTATCTCAAGATTCCAGCTGAAAAATGACCGTGACCTTAAGTGAGGGGTGTGTGTGTTGGGCGTGGGGATGGGGTAAGGAGTTGCCAGATTTGGAAATTCAGAAGGTGAACCTGATGACTAAAGTAATAATAATCAACGGAACCTTCACTCTCCTTGCCCCACTCGATCCTACCAGGAACCCCGTGAGGTAGGCTTTTTTTTTTTTTTTTTTTTTGTGGTACACGGGCCTCTCACTGCTGTGGCCTCTCCTGTTGCGGAGCACAGGCTCCGGACACGCAGACTCAGCGGCCATGGCTCACGGGCCCAGCCGCTCCGCGGCACGTGGGATCCCCCCGGTCCGGGGCACAAACCCGTGTCCCCTGCCTCGGCAGGCGGACTCTCAACCACTGCGCCACCAGGGAAGCCCAAGGTAGGCATTTCTATTTGTCTTTTGCTGATGAGAAAAATGAAATCCCTAGAGGCTAGTGGCCCCTTCAAAGTTATCAACAAAACTGGGACTGGGGCCCAATCTCTGCTGGCAGCCCGGGGTTCCAATTTCAGGATGTCACTGTGGTCCAGTGACCCACCATTGTGCTGTCTGATGCCCGGTGGCCCTGGGGAGGAAGGAGAGCTCAGTGGGTGGGAGTGTGGGCGCTGGAGCCCACTGCCTGGGCTTCAATCCCAGCTCCACGCCTTCCTGGCTGTATGATCCTGGGTAAATGACTAAACCTCTCTGTTTCCTAATCTGTAAAGAGGGGAGCAGGATGGGAATGGGTCTGATCTCATAGGGTAGCTGCCCAGATGAAAGGAATTGAAGAATCGATGAGTTGAAAGCACGTAGAATGGTGCCTGTGTTCAAAATGGTAGCCATGAAGGTGAGGAAGACGACACAGGCTCTAGGAAGTCAGTGTGGGGTCATTTTCCCAGGAGAGGGCTGTGACTTGCTTATCTGGCCTCTCAGTGGCCCTGGTGTCTGGGGCTGGGGCCAGGGGTGTGGTCAGGGTTGAGGCAACCAGAGGAAGCGCCCATGACTCTGTTGGCACCACCCATGGCCACAGAGGGACAACATGTTGCCTGGTAACCAGCCAGAAAGGCAGTGTGGGAAAATGAAGCATGTGACTGGTGCAGGTAGCAGCAACTAGACCCACCTACGGTTTATATTTTCAGAATCGTCTTAATTTTCCCAGACCCAGATTCCATGAGGGAGGAGCAGCCACCCGCTTCCTCACTTCTGCAAGAGGAATCATCACCTTGTCTTTCTATTTGTGGTTCTCAATTGAGTGGAGGAAGTGGGGAGGGGGACCAGGGTCTGTCCTAAACCCGGAGCTTCTGTAGCCCAGGACGAAAATGATGCTCCGTCTGACTGGAGGGCTTTGGGGTGCGAGAGGCAGCCACACTGGAAAGAAAACAGGGATCCTACAGAGGAGAATGTAAAGCCTGCTCACCACCACATATTTCATGCAGTCTCCAGGTTGTGGGAACTGTTTCCTGTGATGGCCCCAGACCCCTGGGGTCCTGGGCTTATTCCCCTTTGCTTTCTGAGTAATTCAGCAAAAACCTGAAGAAGCACATCCTGCCTTAGAAGCCCCGGGTTTGAGAATCCTGTGTGGCCGTCTGGTTGGAAAGAGGGGCTCATTGGAGGGTTGGACGGGTGGAGACAGGGGTGGGGGGGTGCTTGGCCATTTTTAAGTTTATAGATAAGAAACGGGGAGAAAATGGTTATAAGATTTTTGCACTCCTCTCTCCCCACTTAGCAGCAAAGGTTCTACCACTGGGGGAGCCAGCGTGGGGAAGCTACGTGAGGCTGGGTGCGCTGGCGGGGGGAGGGCATGCCCTTCTCTGCCGGCCACAGACCAACCCCTGATGCCTTGATCCCCGTCGCCTGAAGCTCCCCGTGACATCTTTCCATCATGGCCTTGTCATCAGGTTATCATCAACATCGCTGAAAAGGCCGCGTTAGGGCAGTTTGCTCAGCGGACGGTGTTTACCGAGCCTCTGTGGGTGTCTTGCTGAACGTGCGCTAGATAGTGCAGAGGCGTTCAGATGCAACTTTTCCACATGGCTTGAATTGTCTCAAGGAGCCGGAGATGCGACCCAGGGAACTGATGATAACTGTGGCCTTTTGCCATGTGGATCCCTGAAGGGGCTCACTGGGAGGTCTCACGGATGCCTTCCAGCATCTGGACCACGAATCCGAGGGACGCGGGAATGGGGGAGGTGGGCAGCTGCTGGGGGGCTTCCCTGGGGGCCGACACTACTCTCTGCCTGGCTCAGCCGCTCAGTACAGACTGACTGAGTCATTCATCTAAAAGCCGCATCATCTCTGCAGGGGGTGTGTAGTCAGGCTTAGCAAAGGCTCCCGGGTGGTGGGCAGGGACATCCAGGACAAAGTTCACGCTGGCACTGTGGAGACCAGGCAGGGGGCTTTGAGCCCATCTCCAGGGAGGTGGACTGGGCAGATGGGAGGCCGTGTCCTTCAGGCTCCAGTGAGATGCTCCAAAGTCTCCACCTGGGTCACCAGTGGCAGCCCTGTTCCCGTATGAAAGCCTGCGAGTAAGTGACCCAGCAGGCAGGGTCTGCCTGTGGGGCAGGGCTAGGCATCTCCGTGGGCCAGGAGCCAGTCAGCAGCGCGGGGCACAGGTTTGGGGACCCTTCAGCTGCTAACAGATGCTGAAGCTGTGCTGAGGACCTCGGCAGGTGTTTATGGCACCTTGTGAACATTGGGTACACGTGCCCTCTCTGGGTGGACACAGCCCTGCAGGGATCAAGTTTGTGCAGATTAACAGAAGATGCTCCTTCCTTCTGGCAGGTAGCCCAGGCCAGGTACAGTCTTGGCAAGCTAGCCGGGGCTGGATCTCAGTCCCATTTGCCCCTCGTTGGAGTCTCTTGTGCAGTGAAAAACCTATACAACCGTACACGGCTGCCCTGTTTGCTTCCTCTCCAAGAGTTCGCCAGGATTCATGCACTGACCTCACTTTCCTTTACAGTGTTCTCCCCGCCACTTATTCTGGGCTATAGGAACAAGGGTGGGCTCCAGGTCCCCCCAAGGCAAGCCTGTTTGGGAAGAGGGCTTTTTGCTGTCTGTGGGTCCCTCTCGGGGCTCAGACTCTGAAGGGTTCTTCTCTCAGTAACTTAGGGGTGCCGCCAGGCCGGGGGAACTGCCCGCTCACCGTGCCCCTGCCTTTCGACCTCATCTACACCGACTACCACGGCCTGCAGCAGATGAAGCAGCACATGGGACTCTCCTTCAAGAAGTACCGGTGAGAGGGCAGCGGGACGGCGGTGATGGCCCATGGCAGCCCCCGGGGTCTGGCTGCCGGCTGGTCCCCAAGGTGGGGGATTGCACTTTCCCAGGTTCCGCGGTGGAGAGAAGGCTCCCCTCCCCCACTGTCTTCCTTCTCTGACAGCTCTGCCTCCTGACTAAGGCTGACTCAGATGACAATTAATAAACCACAGCCAGGCGATCCAGGCCCCTGTGCTGCTGGACAGGCTGGGGGGCAGGGTCAGAGCTGATCCAGATGGAGGGGGCAGAGGAATTGCAGGGAGTGGTGGAGGGGAACAAGGCAGGTAACGGGGCGTGACCTCTGTGGGTGGGGACCCAGCAGCCCCCCACCCCGACTCCCTCCTCCATCCCACCCCCTCCAGGGCAGGAGGAAGGCCGATGCCATAGCTCTGTCTCTCTGCAGCCAGCCGGGTATGGGGTTTAATTTAGCACAGAGAGCCCTGCTGTTTATTACGTTTGCTCTAGTCTCATTGACTATCCCACATGATTTTATTAGGGGAAAAAAAAGTGACAGGCAGCATTATTGCTTTTATTATTAATGCATGTTCTCCGTGCACTGGGGGCCTCTTCCTGCCATTCCCGCCTCTTCCGGGGGAGGAGTGCCGACCTCAGCAGTCTGGACAATTCTGGGTCACCGGCAAGGACTCTGGGTGAGGGAACTCCTTGTAGGGGCGTCTGAGTCTCAGCGTTTTTCTTCAGGTGCCCACTCCGGGGTGGCCCAGATGGAGGGAGAGGTTCTGGGCTTTGGCCCATTGACAGCAGCCTCAATGGACCAAAGGGTGGGACAGAACCTCCTCCGGCTGGGAGGCCCACCTGAAGTGGCCACACTTGCAGGAGACTTTGAGGCACGATGGGCATGATGGGCCCGTGGCAGTGGCTGGTCCCTCTGAGGCCCTGATCTTCTGCATCTCAGCCCAGATAACCCCGGCACATCCTGCGGGTGTCAGGCTCCTGGGCAGAGGGACTGTGGACCCCCTGCCCAGGAAAGTAGAAATCGTACAAGTGACCCCTGGGGCAGTGGGGAGGGATCCCATTCCAGGCTGGGCCTCCCCTTCTAGGCTCCCTTGGGGCAGCTGTAAAAACTAACAGTTTCTGAGTTAGTGGTCCCTGGTTCAGGTGTATCACTGAGACCCTGAGACAGTTATCCCCATTTCACCAACGGGGAAGCTGACCCAGAGAGGTTAAGGCACTTGCCTGTGGTCACACAGCCAGCTAGTGTCTGAGCCCAAGCCCTGACCACACATCACACTATCCTGACCAGCCACCTTTGGGTTACAGAGCCCACGGCTGGCACAATCCTAGCCCAGGGAGACACAGGGAGGTTGGTGACCCTGGTTCCTGATCCCGGGGGGGTGGACAGGTGCCGCATCCGGGTCATCGACACCTTTGGGACGGAACCTGCATACAACCACGAGGAGTACGCCACCCTGCACGGCTACCGGACAAACTGGGGCTACTGGAACCTCAACCCTAAGCAGTTCATGACCATGTTCCGTGAGTGTCCGGCTCTGGGAGGCGGTGGGGGCCTCTCCGAGGTGGCCCAGGAGGAGGCAGGCCCCATTCCTTCCTCTCCTTCCTTTTGGGGCCTGTGCGGGGAGGGGGGGAACACACCCCCTTGGCGTGTCCCCTTGGACGGGAAAGCCTTGTTCCCCTCTCTGCAAATGTGTGAGCCACAGAGGAAGCCTCTGGGCTGTGTAGGGAGGGGGCAGCCTGGGTGCCGGGCGGGGGGGAAGCATGGTGACCTTTCCAACACCCAGAGGACGCAGCCTTTGTCCTCCTGGAGCACACGTTGCTGTCTTGCTCTCGAGAGCGGCTCAGCAGAGGGTTCCAGAACAAAGATGGTTCCATGGCCTTTGAGAAAGAGAGACATTCCAACGTGGAGGGAGACTTAAGTGAGTGGCGAGGGGGCAGCAGAGGGAGGCTTTCTAAGCAGAGGGAACAGACGTGGTGAAGATGGATATGGAAAGAACGGAAGGTTCTGGAAATGCAAATGCTCCGGGAGGCTCCAGCGTTGGGGATAATGGGAAGTAAGGCTGGGGGGTGGGGTGGCTGGGGCCCCTGTGGGTGACGGACTTCGGGCAAGGGATGCCATTCGAGCTGAGCTTTCGTGATTTTTTAAAAAAATTATTTATTTATTTTTGGCTGCTTTGGGTCTTCGTTGCTGCGCGCGGGCTTTTCTCGAGTTGTGGTGAGCAGGGGCTACTCTCGTGTGCGGGCTTCTCATTGCGGTGGCTTCTCTTGTTGTGGAGCACGGGCTCTAGGCGCGTGGGCTTCAGTAGTTGTGGATTGCGGGCTCTAGAGTGCGGGCTCAGTAGTTGAGGCGCATGGGCTTAGTTGCTCTGCGGCATGTGGGATCTTCCCAGACCAGGGCTCGAACCCGTGTGCCCTGCATTGGCAGGCGGATTCTTAACCACTGGGCCACCAGGGAAGCCCGCTTTCGTGATTTTTAATGAGACTTTAAAATATATACACACTGACCTCCCCTCTTACATGCAGCGCGCTGAAAATAATTTAACCTTTTCTTGACAACTCAGGGCCAATGCTCTGTCTCTCTGGTGTGGGGCCTGCCCTGCGGGGCCGGCTGAGGTGTGCGGAGCCACGTCCCCTGCTGAGTGGCCCCTTCTCCTGTCGCTGTTTGGCGTGGCGCCTTTTCTCCTACTTGGGAGACTGTCAGCTGTCACTTTTAATCGTCGTCAAGCTATCTGCATCCAGCAGCATCTTGGACGTCTAATTGGCGGCTCTTTGAAGGCTGTGGATCAGAAAGCCGGATAAGCGCCCTCGTTAGGATTGTCTCTAAATTAAGAGTGAGCTTGGTTCCAAGCAGGGTCCCGAGGAACTTGCTCGTAAGTAAAGTAGCTGATCTCTGCTGAGCCTGTCAAATGAATGCCTCCCTTTTGAGTGCTTAGGGACTCCTTTTGTATTACTCTTCAGGTTCTAGGCTGTATTAGAGGCAGACAAGATTTCTGAATAATACAGGAGTAATGGCTTGATTGGATCCCAGAAGGTTGGGAAGGTGGGAAGTTTCCTTGGAGCCCAGATGAGGAAACTGAGGCCCAGAAAGGTGGAATGTCCTGTCTGAGGTCACATGGCTCTGTGGGGACCAGACTCCCTCCCCATAGCCCATTGCAAGGTTGTATGAGGCTTCTCCAAGAGAAGAGTGACTGTCCTAACAGGTCATCTGGTGGCATTGTGCTCCCAGCAGAGTGATTGAAGTGGGATGGGTCCTGAGGAGATTTCTGGAGGGAAAGGAAGTGGGGGTGGGTAGTGGTGGTGATGCTGTAGGCTGTGGAAACAGCATATGTCATAGCAGAGCAGAAAAAATACCATTGAGGATCTGGGAGCAGAGGGGTGGGGTCTTTTAGCAAAGATTCCAGAATTTACATTGGATATGGTAATTCGAGGTTCATTGTAGGTTCTTGAGCTAGGGAATATCATGGAGAAATTTTTTTTTTTTTTTTTTTGGTCACGCCGGGCAGTTTGCGGGATTTTAGTTCCATGACCAGAGATTGAACCCAGGCCCTTGGCAGTGAAAGCACGGAGTCCTAACCACTGGACCTCCAGGGAATTCCACCCCCCAAATTTTTTGAGATACATTATTCTGGCAGACTGCAGATGGCCAAAGGGACAGTGGTAGAGGACGGGGAAGCAGGAGATGGGTTAAGAGCCCTCTGTGATAATCTACACTGAGAAAATGAGGACTTGCCCTGGGGTAAAACCCACTGGATCTAGAGTTCCAAAGCTGGCAAACTCCTACTCATCCTCCAAAACCCCATGTCAAATGTCTCTTCTTTTTACTGTCACTTTCACTGATCACCTTATCTATTCCAGGCAGAATGTTTTTATAACTCTTCAACTTAATTCTGTTAAAGCATATATTGAAATAGAGTTATTTGCTTATACATTTATTTCCACTGATAGATTATGTATGAATCACTCAAAAAGGAGCCACTGACTGATTTATCTTTATTTCCCTGGAGCCTATCAAGGTCCTCAGAAAAATGTTAATTGACTGAATCAATTAAAGAAAGAGAGAACAAAAAACAGACTTGCCTGTCTTAATGATATACCAAGTCCAGGAAGGAATTCATGAGCAGACCTCTTTCCCCATCTATTGATAGATGGTTGATTTCCCCAAAGAGCTAACTGCCTTTGCTCTTTGCTCTGGCTGCCTCTCCCTGCCTTGCCCTGTCCCCAGGAGCTCTTTGCTTAATGGTCCCTGATATTTCAGTTGGTTGCAATACTTCGTTGTCCCACGCCCACTAGTTTAGCTAATTGTTCTAAACCTGTCCCTTCTGGTGGAGTTGGTGGAATGAGATTTTCTTCATCTCTGAGAATAGGGAGGAAATGGCAAACGGGAGAGAGACCTGGGTGCAGCCCCAGCTAGAGCCAGAGGGTAGGGACAGAGGCCAGGGTGGGGCTGGGCAGGCAAACTGGGTCAGGGAGGGTCTGGTCTGCCCTCCTGGGGCCTCTCCCTGGCCTGGCAGAGCCTCCTGAGACAGGAGAGCTGCCTGAGCTCTGACCATCACAGAAACAATTCCAGGCCTCCAGGGCCCCCCTTATGCCTCTGAAGCCCTAGAGGAGAGATCATTTTGTTCTGCAGCCCGTCCTTATAGTGGTCGGATTTTCAGACTCAAGAACCCGTGAGCTTTCTGGGGCACTTCGGCAGAAAACCACCACCTCTTCTAAGGTACACCAGATACTGATTATAAATTTTGTGGGTATGGAGAGGGGTGGGTAGATATATTGTGTTAAATCTACACATTTGATTAAAGTATGCATCCCAATTTCAGAACTGCTAAAATGTGAAAAAAACGTGCATCTGAAATGAAGAAATAGGGTATTTGGCATCAGGGCTGTTCTGGGAAATCAAGGGTGTTTGGCTGTTACCAACCTACTCCCCGCAGCCTCTCCCACCTGGGAAGGTAGAGTAGGTTTAATTGGGTTCCATAAGCACTCTATTCAAGGTCCTCTACGTGGAACGGAGGGATCATGTGACTTGCAAATGGCTGGCACTTGTGCCTACACCTCTACCCTGCCACGGCAGACAGGGCTAATCAGTGACATTCCTGCAGTGTGGCCGAGGAATTGGAGCCCTAGCTGAAACGCATTCCTTGCCCCTGGTGTGCTCGGTTCTGGGAGGTGAGGCAGGGTGCGATCTGCGCTTTGCCGGAGACCTAACCACAGTGGATGGGGCCACAAGGGAGGGCACGTGGACCCCAGAGAAGGCTTCTGGGAGGAGAGGAGGTGATGTGTGAGTGGGGCCCTGAAGGGGAATAGGATTTTCTCATCCTGGAAAAGGGTGGTGGGCGCTCCAGGCAGAGGGAAGGGCAGGGCAGGAGTTGGCAGGTGTGAAAGGGAAGATGTCCATGCATTTGTGAGCCAGCCGGCCGGGCGCTCCCGTGTGCCGGGGACACAGACAGAGCTTTTGCTCTCGTGGGGCTTAGATTCTGATGATAATACACAACCAAGTCAATATATACTATCACATCTGGTCAGTGAGTGCTGGGACAAATAAAGCAGGGAAAGGAGACAGAGTGGGATTGGGGTCAGGAGAGACCTCTCAGCAGGGCCTTGTGAGCAACGGGCTGCGTGGAGAGAGGGCTGGGTAGGTGGTAAGAGATGCCATGGAAGGAGGCCAGGGCACTGATGCTCTCCCCGCCCCAAACAGGACCCCTTACCTCCCAGCCCCCTTCCCCATCCTTGCCAAACAGGGAGCCCTCTGCTGGGGCTGGGCCGGGTAGACCCAGGGTGTGCCCTTGGCTGCCTGGTAACCCTCTTCCTGACCTCGTGGTCTGGCTGCAGCTCACACCCCGGACAACTCCTTCATGGGCTTCGTGTCCGAGGAGCTCAACGAGACGGAGAAGCAGCTCATCAAAGGCGGCAAGGCCAGCAACATGGCCGTGGTGTACGGCAAGGAGGCGAGTATCTGGAAGGTGAGCCCCGCTGAACGCAAGCACCAGCCCTCGGCCCCCAGGGGCTCCCAGCCCCAGGATTCGGCTCCCATCTGCCGCCCCCGGCACCGGACGACGGTGGGAAACAGCCCCACCAATGGGTCAGAAAAGAGGCCTCAAACTGCCTTTGGAAGTACCACCCGGGGACTCATGCCTCACCCCTCTCCCTGCTCCCACGCTTTGCAACAAATTCAAATGGCTTAACCTTCCACCCTCCCTCAGATGGATCAACAGACACTCTCACCCCGCAAAGGGGGTTTAGGCTAGACGTGGGGATTCTGTGGGATGGGAGGCTGTGGAGGAGCAGGAGAGGCCTAGGAACTGGAACCCTGTCTTCAGGGCGGGGTCCCACAAGAAGCACCACCAGCATGGGAGGGTACCCACTCACCCCGCCACTGACTTGTCCTCTCTCCTCTTTTCTCTCTGCCCCCCTGGCAACGAGGCAGCTCCAGGTATGCCACGTGTTCCCTTCGCCTCCCGCCCCCCTCTACTCTATAGGGTCTCCCCTGGGGGTGCTCCCGAGGCGGGCTCCCCGGGGTTTGTGGCTCCTGTGGATGGACCAGACCAAGGTGGGAGGAGGGTGACGGGGACAGCGGGGTCTCAGGCTCTTCCCGGGGCCCTCTGAGGGGAGGCAGGCCCTGGAGGTCAGGGTCCAGCTCCGCGTGGCGCGGGGCAGCTCCTAGGATGGGCCATTGACCTAAGGCAGGCGGCATGAGGCTACAGGTTAATAATAAAGATGCCGATCGTGGGGAACGTTGAGCAGCCCCCGTACCCCATGTCAAGCCTGTCACGTGACCATCTTAGTTACTGATTCTCATGCTGTGTTGATTAGGATTAAGTCCAGCTGTCACAGAAAAGCCCTGAATAATAGTGATGGAGGCAAGATGCAAGTATGTCTTCTTTTCTGTTGACAAACTCTGGAGGTGTCAGTCCTGGCCTGACCCCTGGGGCTCTTCTTCCCTGGTTGACCCGCCCTGTTTAGTTCCCACCCTGGTCTTGCCTCATCACTTAAGATGACCACAGACAGTGCACAGTCATTACATCTGCCCTCCAGCTGGGGGGTGGGGGGAGAGGAAGAGGAGGAAGGAGGAGGGGTGGGGGAAGGTCAGGTTTAGGGACGTCGCCTGACCGTTACGCGCATCTCTTCCCCATGTGGCCCTGTGGCTAGGTCTCCGTCCCGTGGCCATGCCTGGTCTCGGGATGCTGGAAGTGGCTGTGCCCCCGGCAACCAGGTGCCCAGCTCAGCCCTGGAGTCCTGTGACTGAGGAAGGGGGAGGAAAGCGATATTATGGTTCATCTCATGGTCTGTGCCGCAACAACCCTATGAGCCCGTAGCCGTGGCTAATATTGGTCCATCCAGAGCTTACTGTTGCCAGGTGCTCGCATATATTTTCTCACTTGACCATCGACTACGAGGTTAGAGTGACAAGCTAGTTAAGTGGTGGGGCTGGGGTTTGAAGGCACATCTAACTCTAAGAGCCAGAACACTTAACTCAGACTTTACGTAGCCTCCCCGTTATGACGCCTTGGATAGAGGCAGAGAGACGCTCTGGATTAAGCTGGACTATGGGTCCAAGCCCGGGCTGAGACATCAGTGCCCACTGCCAGGTGTGGGGAGAGGGGCGAGGACTCATCCTCATTTGAGGCCAAACAAGCTGGCTGCCAGGATGCCCGGGGTGCTGGGAGCGAGCACAGACGGTGTCTGCTTGGACCAGAAAATACTGTTAAGAAACTGCTCCAAGAGAATGAGAGGTTATGAGGCCTGGGAAGAGAACAGTTTTCTCTCTAGCTCAGGAGCCTCTGGGTTAGCCAGGAGCAACGCTGTGCAGCAAGAGACCTCAAAGCAGCTGCTTCCAAAAAAAGACATCTCTGCTCTGGTCTTTGTGACCCAGGGAAGGCAGAGGTGGCCGGCTGAAGAAAGGAATGACAGCAGTATCCTGGGACAAGTGCCATCTAGAGTTCAGGGGACCAGGTGGCGAGAAGCGGAGGAGGGAGGAGGGTATGAGGTCGTGACATCCTTAGGGGAGCGGCAGCCGGGGTCAGGAAGAGGGCTTTGGAGGAGGCTTGTCTTATCCTGGGTCCCCAGAGCTGGAGGCTAAGGCTTAGATGCTGCTGTTTTAGGAGAGCCTGTCCCAGGGAGCAGGACTGAGGGATGGGAGAGAGGCTGCTCGTCCGGATGCAGGGCAAACCCAGCCTTGCTGTTGGAGGAAACATTCCAGACCTCAGAAGTGCTTCTGGGGGAGCTAAGGTGGACTTTTCAAACTGCAGCTTAGCTCTGGTTGTTTTCCTCCTCTGGTTTACTGAGGTATAATTGACAAAGAGAAATTGTATGTATTTAACGTGTACAACATGATGGCTTGATGAACATTTATATTGTGAAACGAGTGCCACAGTCAAGCTAATTAACACATCCACCACCTCAGTTATCATGTGTGTGTGGTGAGAACATTTAAGATGGACTGCCTCAGCAAATTTCAAGTATACAATATAGGTTTATTAACTATAATCACCATGCTGGACATTAACTCCCTGAATTTATTTATCTTAAAACTGAAAGTATGTCTCCTTTGACTCATATGTCCCCATCCCCCCCCACCCAGCCCTTGACACACACCATTCTACTGTTTCTATGAGTTTGACTCTTTTCAATTCTGCATATTAGTGAGATCATGCAGTATTTGTCTTTTTTTAACTCAGAGAGCCTTGATTAGCCTTTAAAATGAAGCAGAATAACTTAGAAACAATAGAATAAAAGGATATCAGAGGACTTTATATGTATTAAGAGTAATTATTGTTTTGTAAAACTTTAAGTTTTCATACATAAATACACACACGTGTATGATTAGGTGAAAAAAAGTTGCTCAACAGTGCATGTAACGTGAACCCATTTGTGCATGTATGTGTGTGGGGTTTTTTTTTGTTTTTTTGTTTTTTTTTTTTTTGCGGTACGCGGGCCTCTCACTGCTGTGGCCTCTCCCGTTGCGGAGCACAGGCTCCAGACACGCAGGCTCAGCGGCCATGGCTCACGGGCCCAGCCGCTCCGCTGGGATCTTCCCGGACTGGGGCACGAACCCGTGTCCCCCGCATCGGCAGGCAGACTCTCAACCACTGCGCCACCAGGGAAGCCCGTATGTGTGTGTTTTAAAGGAAATGTACACCTGCTTATAATGCATAAAAGATCTGAGGAAGGCACACAAGAAACTGTTAATAATAGCTGCTCTGGTAATGGGATCAGGAAGTTGAATGGGGGCTTTGGAGACATTTTCTAAACACTTTATGTCCTTGATTTGATTCTTTTCTAGGGCCATAATTCAGTTTTATAATAAGTAATCCTTTTAAATTTTTGGTGTGATTACTGATACGATTTGGCTTTGAATCTACCATTTTATTAGTTGGTTTCTTTTTTTTTTTTTACCTGTTCTATGTTCCTTTTCCGTTCATTTCTTATCCTTTTACATTGATATATTTTAAAAAATCCACCTCCCTTTAGCTAATTGTACTCTCATATTCTTTTGGTCCCGATCTTCTTAATATTTTTATACCCTAAAGGTTATAACACGCACCTTTGACTTATCAAAGTCTAAGCCAATACTTTTATGTTTCATTGGGTTATAAAAGAACTTTAAAATGTTTTATTTCTATCTGGCCCCAACTTATATGTTTTATGGTATTTTAATACTCTCCAAATATTTTATATCCCACGATATATTATTATCATTGTTGTTGTTATTGCTACTGTTGTTTTGCAAAGTCAATATTCATTTACATTTACCCACATTTACCCTTTGTATTGTTCTCTGTTCCTTCTTACATCTCTGAGATTCCATCTGGAATCATTGTCCGTCTCCAGAAGAAACCAACTTAGTCTGGGACTGCTGTTTTTGATTTTCTAAGAATGTCTCGGAGGATATATTCATTATGTACAAATTCTAGCTTGTCCTCTGCCTTCTGTCATTTCTGTTGAGAAGTCAGTGTAGGTCTGATTGTTCCTTTAAAGGTAATTTCTTTTTTGTGTTTTCCTTTGCCTGGTTTGAAGGCTTCCGTTTGGTTTTCAGAAGTTTTACTATGAAAAGCCTGTGTGGTTTTTTGCTTGTTTGTTTGTTTTGTTTTGTTTTTATCCTACATGGAGTTTGTAGATCTCTTTGGATCTGTGGTTTGACCTTTCACTAATTTTAGGAAATTCTCAGCTACTCTCTCTTTAAATGTTGCTTCTGCCCCAATCTCTCTCCTGTACTTCTGGGACTCCATTTACACAGACATTAAATCTTCATTATAAACCCTTGTCTCCAGCATTCTTTTCTGCAGTTTCCATCCTTTAGTTTCTCTATGCTTCATTCTGGATGTTTTCTTTTGTTCTTTCAGTAAGTGAAGTTTCTCTTCAGCTGTGTTTAATCTGCTGTTAAATCCATCCATTTAGTCTTTAGTTTCTGCCACTGTGGGCTTTTTTTTTCCATTTGGTTTCAAATTTTATCTTCTATTTCCTAGACTATATTCAGCATATTTATCTTAAAGTCTGTGCCTGGTAACTCCAGCATATAGATCTCGTATGAATCTGTTTTTATTGTCGTGTCTCTTGGGTGTTGATCATATAGTCTTGTCTCTTTATGTACGTGATTTTTTTAAAAAAAATCAAGGTATTTAAATTTTTAAATCTATTTTAATAGCTTTATTGGGGAAAATTGACATGCAATACACTAAACTTGTTTAAAGTGTGTAATTTTATGGCTTCTGGCTTACGTGAAACCATCACCACAATCATGAGAGAGAATACAGTGCTAACTAATATTACTAAACACAAGTTTAGTAATATTTTTCTTTTCCTCTCTCCACCACCCCTGAAATTCCCTTCTTCCCTTTGGCATCTCTTCCTCCCATCTCTCCTCTCCTCATCTCCAGGCAACCAGTGGTCTGCTTTCTGTCGCTATGGATTAGTTCTCATCTTCTATTGATATAATTTTATATAAATGGAATCATATGGTATATATTCATTTTTGTCTGGATTTTCTCTCTGAGTATAGTTATTTTGAGATTCCTTCATCCTGTTGCATGTAACGATAGTTCATTCCTTTTTATTGCTGAGTAGTATTCCATTGCGTGGATGGACTACACTTTATCCATTTACCTGTTAGTGGACATTTGGGTTGTTTCCAGTATTTGGCTATTACAAATAAAGCTGTTATGAACATTCGCATACATATCTTTGTACACACATATGCTTTCATTCCTTGTGGGTAAATACCTAGAAGTGGAATGGCTGGGTCATATTGTAGAACTGTGTTTAACGTTTTAAGAAAAGTGGTTTTGCCATTTTACAATCCTGCCAGCAATGTATGAGAGTTCCAATTCCTTTACAAATTCATCAGTACTTGGCATGGTCAGTCTTTTCTAATTTTAGCCATTTTAACAGGTGTGCAGTATTATCTTATTGTGGGTTTAATTTGTAATTCTCTAATGACTAAGGATGTTGAAGATGTTTCTCTGTGCTTATTTGTCTTCCGTTTATCTTTTTTGGTGAAATACCTTCAAAAAGGTTGCCCATTTAAAAGATTGGGTTGTTTATTTTCTTATTATTGAGTGGTTAGAGTTCTTTACATATTCTGGATATAGGTTCTTTAACAAATAGATGCTTTGCAAAAATCTTCTCCCAGGCTGTGGCTTGTCTTTCTCTTAACAGCATCTTTCAAAGAGCAAAACTTTTTCATTTTAATGAAGTCCAGTGTTTTCCTTTACGGATTGTGCTTTTGGTGTATCCAGGAAATCTTTGTCTAACCCCAGGTCACAAAGATTTTTCTCCTATGAGTTTTATAGTTTTAGGTTCACATTTAAGTCTGTGATCCATTTTGAATTAACTTTTATATATGATATGAAGTATGGGTTGAAGTCCTTTTTTCCCTTCCCTTTCCTTTCTTTTCTTTTTTTTTTTTTTTTTGCATATAGAGTGATCCATGACTGTATGTTGAAAAGATTATCCTTCCTCTACTGAAACGTCTTTGCATCTTTGCCAGGATTCAATTGACCCTACATGTGTAGGTCTATTTCTGGACTCTCTGTTCTGTTGATCTGTCTCTCTCGATGCCAATATCACACTGTCTTGATTCCTGTAACTCTACAATAAGTCTTGAAATCAGGTAATATAACTCTGCCCAATTTCTTCTTCTTTTTCAAAGTCATTTTGTCTCTTCTAGGTCCTTGCATTTCCAAATGAGTTTTAGAATTAGCTTGTCAATTCCTATTTTAAAAAGCCTGCTGGGATTTTGATTGGGATTTTACTGGTTCCCTTTTCTTTTTGAGGAAAGCTACCTCTAGGTAGTTCTGGAAAATGAATATGAAAAACTGTAGAAATAATTTGAGGTCAAGGATGATACTCTCTTCTTCCAGAGAGGATTTACTTTTATCCTAGGATTACAGCTGGGGCCCTAGCAGTCCCAGGTCACCTCAACCAATGATAGTGATTGAGACAATTTTAAAAGGATTCAGCCCCTGCCAGAGCTGCTCTAGTTCTGGTCCCTCCTTTCTTCCAGGCTGTAACTCCTCAGAGTTCCAGCCCAAAGTGTGGATTTCCATCAGGGCTCCCCATCTTTGGCAGGCCCCAAACTCTGACTTTTGTCTTCCAGGTCTGCTTAGCTGCCTAGATGCTGCCCCTGGAATCAGCAGGTGCCCCCAGGAGGAAAACCAACCCCAACGCTGGCCTCAGCAATCTCTTTTCCTCCTTCTCCCAGGTCTTGGCCTTGTCATTCTTCGTTCTTTGTTAGATTTTCCAGGGCCTTCATAGATGTATTTTACATTTTCCCGTTTTTCCTGGTCATTCTCAGAGGCAGGGCTGATCTGCATTACCCAAAGTGGAAGGCCTCCTTGTGAAAAATGTATACAGCTTGAGTTTCAAAATGTGAATTAACAATTATTAATTATTAACAATTAACAATTAACAATTATTCTGACGTCCATTGATAATATTCTACAAGAGCTGTGGTTAATGAAGTGAACCTGGGCTGGAGCTCATGGTGGTCTGATCTCACGCTGGCCGGCGGGACGTGGGGAACCATGAGTTCTTTTCCTCTGACCCATTGGCCTGTTGGGAACTAATCCTCCCTGAAGAGAGCCCCACGCCCCACCCTCCTCCGTGATCTCGAAGCTAATTCCCCTCCCTCTCTTCTGCGAGCCTCAGAAAATCTCTAAAAAATAGAACCCAGCAGCCGATCCCATGCTTGTTCCTGTCGAGGTCCTACACCGACCGCAGCTCGCTCCCAGCTCAGGGCCCTGGCCGTAGCGTCAGATGGGTGCCCGGACGCTGAGGGGTTATGTATTCACCTATGCTCCGTGCCTCCTCAGAGGTCCTTGGAGGTCATCAGGGATTCAGGAGAGGCCAAGTAGCCCCAGCTGGATACAATTAAATGTTGGTCTCTATGGGAGACCTTCGGAAAGAAAATAGGTCCGTGGCTAAAAATAGTCTGGAGGCCTCTGGTCTAATCCAACCTCCATAACTCATAGATAAAGAAATTGAGGACCAGAGAGGGCAGGGGCCTCCTCAGGGTCACACAGCTGGTTAGGGGCCGACCTGAGACTGGCCCCATGTTTTCCGACTTCCTGACCGGGGGCGTCTCTTCAGCTGGCTCTGCCGTCTGAGGTTGGAGCAAGGCTCCCATCCCCTCCATCTCCTCTTCCAGGGGAAGGAGAAGTTCCTGAGCATCCTGAACAAGTACATGGAGATCCACGGCACCGTGTACTACGAGAGCCAGCGGCCCCCCGAAGTCCCGGCCTTCGTGAAGAACCACGGCCTCTTGCCGCAGCCTGAGTTCCAGCAGCTGCTGCGCAAGGCCAAAGTGAGCCCCACCCCGTCCTCCGTCCTCACCCCAGCCCGGCCATAGATGTCCAGGAGGTGCCCATACGTGCCTGCCATGCCTGCCACCATCACTTGTGGCCCCCTCTACGTGTGGACGTGCCCAGCACACTCTGCTGCCCTGAGCCTCGTGTCTGGGCCTCTTAGGGGCTGGTCAGAGCTGGGGGCAGAGATGGGGATGGTCATCAGGCAGGGGAGGCCCCACAGTGAAACGGACCTGAGTGAGGCTCAGTGATGGTGAAGAGGAGTTGGGCTGCCCACCTGCCCCCCCGCCCCAACACCAGTCCAGCCCAGCTGACTCCTGGACCTGGCTTTCAGAGCCACTGAGAGGGTGGAAGGGCAGGCTGGGGGCAAAGGGACGGGGCGCAGCCTGGCTGGAGTTCCATCGGGCCAGCAGTTCTGACGAACTGCTTCTGGAATTCCCTGAGCTGTGTCCCTGAAGCGTGATCCTGCTGTTGGGCCCTGAAGTGTCAGCGAAGGCTGGAGAGTCTCTAGGCAGCTGCCAGGTCCTCTCCTGTTCTCACCATAACTTATTTCTTCAGGCCTCTTTTGTGTGTGTGTGTGTGTGTGTGTGTGTGTGTGTGTGTGTGTGTGTGT